GGTTTAGAAACTCAAGTAGAAAAAATAGGAGCATAGAGAATGCATGAGGTTTCATAAACATATGAACATGGTTCAATAAGAGGAAGGAAAATATTAAACAGTCTATGGAATATTGAAGGAAAGAAATGTAGGCAGAGATAAGATGGAAAGTTGTGGGGTAGAGGCTGTCAGGTGTTGGTTTTCTGTGTAACTTCACCCACTCAGGACAGTTTTGTCTTTTGGAAATCTGTGAACTGAAGACATTTCAAATCAAACTGAAAGATAATCAGAGCTTGTCTTTCTCACAGTTGTGTTTACCAGGGTCACAAAATAATGTGTCCACAGCAGATGAAGTCAAATGCTACCTATTAAAACAGACCTCTTATTTGCAAAACACTTTCTCTTAAGACATAGTTAAGAAGAAACATGTGTTCCCTGATGGTTCTTCCAAATCCCAAATTGTGTAGCGAGCTGATTGGAGTGACAGTAGTGCTCTACCCCATCCAATAAAGCCTCATGCAGATAACAAAATGTGAAAGTGTGTGTGTGTGTGTGTGTGTGTGTATGTGAGTTTTGCAAACCATCTGTTGTTAAATAATACAATGAGGACACAGTAAAGTGTAAATGTATATATGTATGTAATTATAATAGTAGTGGATTTTCATCAAAAAATGCAAATGATTACCTAAATGATATAAAAATCATGGGTTTAGAATAAATTTATGAATGTTACTTCATTTAATACAACTTTAATTGCTTTATTTAAATATATGTATATTAAATACATTTTATTGAACATCTTGGTAGAAAAATATAAGAAAAATCATTTCAAATATCAGTTAAGAGACTAACATCCACTGTTGGCTTTGTGTCTGATGCTAAGTGCTTCACACGTAGTGTTCAGTTTCATTTTCACAGCAATCCTTTTTTTTATTAATGTGAAAATTGAAGCACTGGAAGTGAATTGCCCAGGTCACACAGCCACCTGAGGTAGATTTGGGAGTCATGCCTGGCAATATGACCTGCCTCCTTTGCCAGCAGGCTTTCCAGATTCCCTCAGACCAGAACTCACATACAATTGCCTAGGGAAAACAATGCTGAAGTTCCTTTGTATATTTTATATAAATAGGTTTGGTGACCTGCTTTTAAATGTAAAATCTTCCCACGCCACTAAATATTGAATACTACTCCAGCAGTGAGTAAGATAGCTATCAATTTTCTATCCATGTTCAGTATATTTACCTAGTTTAACCAGCTTAATTTAGGAAACTGTTTATACGATTCATGATTTAATGACTGGCTGGAAAAAAATAGAAACCTCAGTGGCTTTATCGTTCATGCTAATTACAATTTTAATGACTGTTAGTAATTTGTACCTATAAGATGTAGCACGTGGCTTACTATGTAGTTTTTATGCATGAAATATTTTAAAACTTTCATTCTGTCTGTATCAACAGTAGTTATAGCAGTGTGCGTACAAGTGTTTAAGTCTTTGGAGTTGGAATAAATCAATATTCAAAGACCAGTTTTTCCACTTACTAGGGAGTACATATTTAGACAAGTATTAAGCCTCAGTATTATTATCTGTAAAGTGGGTGTAATAATAGTATTTAGTTCATAGAAGTGGTAAATGAGGAGTATATAATTGTTCATTCGTGTAACAAATTTTGTGCAACAGATATTTATTGATCCCTAGTCTGTGCAGAGCACTGATATAGACACTATCATACAGCAGAGAAAATGAAAATTCACCCTAGGACTCATGAAATTTGTATTCTACTGGGGTTAGAGAGCTAATAACAATGAATATTTAACATTATATAAATAAATTATAGAATGCATATAATACACTTACTTAGTGCCATATATAAAATACAAAACATCATTAGTTGCAAAACCAAGAATTATTATTATTATATTTTATTACACATATAAGGCTTCTATGTGCTGAAGAAGCAATTTGATAATGATAACAAAAAAGATTGGGAAAAGAAAAATCAGTGGCATTCAGCTTCTAACTTGCAAAGTATTTAAAGTGGAGATACTCTTAAAAGAATGCACATTCTTGGGATTTATATATTGCATAGATTTCTTTCTTTTCAATTTATAAAGACAGAACAGAGACTCCTAAACAAAGTTGATCCCCACTGCTGCCCTTCTCTAATTCAAGCACATGCATGTTGAAGTTTTGGTTGGCCTGCTTTACTTGAGAACACAGTGTCGATGACACTGAAAAATCATTAATGAAGCTCTCTTCCCCAGACCCACCAGCAATTAACATTTCATCAGTGAAATCAACTGCCTGGAAAAGTCAGTGCTGCATATGAAATGGCAGGCTGTCTGCTTCAAACACTCAGCTTGGGGATTGCTTGATTCTATGTTTCTGCAGTGCTTGTGAGTCGAGCCGAGAAAGAAGGTCTCAAGTGAAAAATGTTTACGGAAGCCAGATATTTTATTATACAATAATAATCAATGGTTAAAAATATTCAGCAGTATAGACGGGGTGAAAATAAAAGTTCCTGTTCTCTTTTCCTGGCTTCCAGATCTCAGTCTTCAGCATCAAACACTGCCCATAGTTTCCCGAAACTTCTCAATGAAGACTTGACTAAACTTAAAAAAATATATATATATACATATACATATATGTTGTTGTTGTTATTTGACTATATATACATATATACATGAAATATGTCTATATATATATATTTTTGCCATTTTTATAGGACTAAGAACAGGCATCCATATGTGACTCAAAAATTAAAGACACACTTCAGTAGAAATGCTGTCTACAAAATGAGGGCACCAAGTTCTTAGTGACCAAGTAGGCTAATAAAAGAGATGTCCCCCTTAGAAATTCTCACCTATCAATTCCTGCTTTGCGTATTCAACGGTAAAGTTCCCGTTCTGTAAGAATAAAAGAAAATTACCTTGAGAGATCATGTAATTTAAGTTCATGAGCATAATTTTAAAATAAGTAAGCTTTTTCCACACATCACTCAATTCTTACATCAATTTTACAACATTATTTTCTCCATTTCAGCAATGACAAAATTGAGACTTGAGGATTTAAGTAATGCACAAGGTCACAAAACTAAGTAAATGAGCTTGCTTAAAAAAGCCAGATTATAGATCCAAGAGCCTCCTTTCCACGCTTCCCAAGAATTCATAACTTGTGTGGTTATCATGTTAGTGTTGTTTACGTAACACCAAAAGTCAGTAGTTCTCACTTTGTGAGAGGGTCCACAGCCACATGCATGCTGAATGATCATAAGAGTGGTTATAAAATTTCATGAACAAGGTAGAAGTTGGTTCTGATTGTATTGTGCTCATAGCTGATAAAAGTATTCCCCACAGCTTTTATTTTTTACAGAAGGTCTTTTGACAAGCATTAAGTTTAAAATGATTCCACTTCAAGATTACATGGCAGTGTGATTGACAGGGGGAGAGAACCAGGTGTAGAGTGAGAAGCAAAACTCTTTGAAATAGACAGCTCTACATGATGAGCAAAATGCCTATGGATCCTGTCCTGGGACATTGAATGTTTATCTCTAACTCTAGAAGCATGAATCAGTTTTTCTAGGACTACAGATACACAGGAGGGAGCATTTCATATTTCTCTATATTTTTGCTCTATATTTCATTGTCTATATTTGTTTTGTTCAGTCATTCATTCAACGATATTTATTGATCATACACCACGTGTTAGATATTTGACCAAATGCTGATATTTGAGTAGTAAACAAGGCACAACTCTTGCCCTATGGAACTTAAAATCGAAAGAGGGGATACAGACAATAAACAAAAATTAATTAAAAATCGTATAACAAAATTTTATACCACATTAAGGCACATAGAAAATATTAAAATAATGTATGTCCTACCTGGTTAAGTGAATGTGTCAACTAAAAAGAGAGAAATATGTGCCAGGGAGTGTGGAAGTGCAATAATAGCGCTGATATCACTTTTTACAGGATGTGCATTCAAGTGGTACAGGAAGTAGGGTGTGAGTGGCTATGGAATTCTCTATTACATAAAATTCTGCAGTTAATCAAATGAGCTTTATAAAAACTTGTAACTCTAGGAAATAGACTGCATTAGGCTAAGACCCAAATAAAGCTGGTTAGCACTACCCCTGACACTAAGTCTGTACTCAGTAATATCCCAACCACAAGCTCACTTTTTCTGTTTGAAAGGACAGGAAAAATTGTAATGTACCAGAGCCCTTCTATTAATCAAAACAAGACTTTATACCTAGAGAGGAGAACTATGAGGCCAAGGAAAAATTGTCTAAATAAGAGAAAGGACTGGGGAGCATGAAAATATCAGTTATTGCAGTTGTTGGGGTAGTGTCATGAGTATTACTTGGATAGCTCAAAAAACTATGTATTTATCCTATACTGATATTAAGTTAGAATGCAGAGTTTCTAGACAAAAGCCATTGTCCTAGGAAATAAGAAAGCACAATACTTTATTTTAATGTGTTTATACTATATACTGAAGTTAATCCAATTTATTTTATAAAATTAATAACAAATACTACTAAAAACAATAATTATACCAGTTTGAAATGATTAAATTAACCACCAGGTGGAGCTCCATGAATTCAACGTATGTAGTCAGAAGTAGAAAATCACTTAAATTGGTCAAATTAGGAAAATTTACAACACATTTTTTTTCTGAGCCATTTTGGCTAATTTCCTTATTTGCAATGCTTAGAGAATTTATGAATTATAAGAGATGGGCTCTTATTAAAGACAAAATGCCAAATTACTTGATTAGTATAAAACTTTTTAGCAAACTGGAATTTAAACCAATGTCCTTTGCTTAAGTTACTTTATAGTTTACTATAAATACATATTCCATTGTATACTGATAAAAGTATGTAACTATAATTGAAACTGAGGACAAATGAGAAAAATCTATTAAACCTGCCTATTATTCTATTTAGTTCGGATTTTTAAAAATGCTTATTTTTTCCAATTTGTTTGTTTGTGTGTCTGTATGTGTTTGTCTCACCCCAGAACCTGAAATTAAAAAAAATGAAAAGATGTCCAAAGCAGGTAAGGACACTTTGTAAGATTTACATATAAGTATATATTCTGTTTATAATGAACAAGGCCGGTGTTACAATCAGACTGTGTAAGGCCTTGAAATGCTGAAAACATTGAAAAAATACTCGTATACCCCAAATATTTTAATTGTAATAAGCCATACACAAAAGTATGCCAAAATTAATATAGCTTCTGATTTCTGTTAGCAAATTTCAGATACGTTTGTCAGAGCATCGGAACTGTTAACATATGCTGCTCCTTATGTATCTACCGGGCAATTGAACATTGTTTACAAAGTGCTAAGGGGACAATTTCAGTTTCAGAGAATTTAGCCAGATTGTGACAAATGCCTAAATCTTATTCTTATAATTGGTTGAATCTTATGGAATCACCTGTACTCGAACATCTTTTACCTCAAAAACAGTAGTTTCATACAGTTCAACATAACAGATTCAACTATTTTCTTTCCCGCTAATTAAATATCCAAATACTCTTTGGAGAAGTAATCCATTGCCTTACTGACCATTAATTTGAAAATTGGAATACTTTTACAAGAGACTTCCTGCAAACAGGTTCTGCGAGAAAGGAAGACAAGAGATTAGCTGGTCACTTTTAAGACAGGTGTTAAAAGAAGAAGAAACATCATAGAATAAAGTGCAGGGGAAAAAAAAGACTAAAATTCCTGAGGAAAACAATTAATTACAGTCTTTCTAGGGCTAACCCTATACCAAATATTTTATATCTATATGAAGATATTTATATGTCTGTATCTACATACGCAAAAGAAGGTTATACCTATATCTCTCCCTATAGTGAAAGTGATACTATGTACATGCATTCATATCATTGGTGTTAAAATATTTGCATATACTAATTTTCACATATTTTAACCAACATTTAAGTAATTCTTGCTTCACCCTTCTGTGTATAGGTTAAATAGTAACCCAAATTATTGTCACTTCTACGAAAAGTACTGTCAACAAATCAAAAGGGATTGTTTAAGTGTTTTTGTATTTTTAGTGAATGAAATAATCATTTTAAGTGACTTTTTAAAATCTGAAAGTATGCATTCTCTGGAAGATAAATGGAACAATCAACAATTTTAAACAGTAAGAAAAGTGCATGATAAAGACAAAATGATACATTGAGTCTTAACATCAAAAGTTATAATTGAACTTTAGATATATCTGAAGAAAAGGAAAAACTATGTATATAAATTACTTTACTGCTGTTAGCACCCTTACTGGGGTCAGCAAAAAATCGCTGGCCAGGTAAAAGGTGCATGATGTCACCCCTTCCTGTAAGCATAGCATTGTATTTTATGCTTTATTTTACTTTTGGTATATAATGGAAAATAGTAATATATGCACTATAAACTTCCTATTATTGGTTGACATTAAATAATTATGCCTGTTTTTATGTTATATTTATTTTTCTCTTCCTAAAAGGAAAGAGAAATCAGTACTAAGGGCTATTTTATTATAAAATATAATCAATTAACAATTTATTGACAATGTATATTATACTAATATCACTGCCATATGTCAAGAATTGTGCTTGTTGATGCAAAGTTTAGAAACAAGTGATAAGATATTGTTTCCATCCCAAGAGAATATGATCAAGGACATAGACATGAACTATTGAAAGATGGCTACCAAATAATTAGTTACATTTGTGAAGAGTGCTCTAGGAGTCTAGAGAGAGGGGACATTCCTATAGTCTGTGTCAATCAGTGAAAACTTCAGGGAGATGATGGATTAAGCTGTGATTTTAGGAATATGCAAGAGCATCTGAGGCAGAAAGGTGATTATAAAGCATGGCGGAAGTGAGTTTTATAGTAGAAAAACATGAATTTGACTCTCTTTGCCACTTGCTAGGGGTGTGATCTAAATTCCTTAACGTTTCTGAGTTTTAATTTTTTTGTCTATTGAATACTCACCTGGTAGGGTTGTTACAAGAAATCCAGTTGATGTTTGCCATTTGGTTCAGATTCAATAAAAGGAAGCTCTATTTAGGAGTTAGCCCAGAGGCAGGGATGAGCATGGCATAAGCAGGAGACAGTGAGGAGAGGATCAAGGACCAAAGGAGATTCCAGGTGCTACATGAGGAACAGAAAATGGCAGGACTGCAGCAATGATGTCTGCCCATATGAGTAAAAGCTTACTTTTATAGTAATCTAAGTGTTAAAAAGGTGGGAGAAATTGATAGGGAGAGGTAGAGAGGCAGCATTAAGGAAGTGAATGCTGTTTACTTTAAATATTATTTATAGCCATGACTAATATTCTGTGTGGAATTATTAGGAATTAAGTTTTTTAAATATCACAGGACCTAGCAACCCATTGCAAAATACTAACAGCATCTTGTTATATACCCTTTCAGTTATATGAATACGGCAATCACAATCATACTCTCTGTAATGTGGTATCACTGCTTTTGTAATTGTCAAGCTGTTTCACAAGAAAAGGCTGGAAACTGATGACATTAGCTATATATGACTCTAAGGTCTCAAGCACCAAAAGATGAAGAAGGTGATGAAATGTAGAAGTTGCAAAGGAGATGCAGGTGATGTGGACAGAGGTGTCCTAGAGACACTAGGAAATCGGGAATATTCACTCTGAATCCTCACACAACGTTTTGTATCTATGAGCTTAGAGGTTTAGAGTTAGAAGCCAGAGGAGAAAAGGATTTCCTCAATAAACAGAAACGTAGAGAGAAAAGAGAAGGGAATGAAAGGCAGCTTCCTGGGAAAGTAAAAGAACTGGTAAAAAGGAAAGTGTGTTACCTGAGAGATCGGGACACACAGTATATCAGTATCCCCAAACCCGGACACTTTCAAGAAAATGTAGAAAAATCAGCAGTCTCAATGTCTCAGGAAAGTCAAGGGGCATGATGACTGAGAAACAGCCATTATATTTGACAAAAATCTGTCATTCTGTGACCAAGTGGAGAGCATGTTTAGTAAAGTGGTGGAAGTAGAAAGAAGCTTAGAGGAATTAATAAGAGAATTTATCAGTAATAAGTGGACACAGAACAGCAACTACTTTTTTCAGGAGTTTGCTGTTAAAAGGAGACAAGGGCTTCCCTGGTGGCGCAGTGGTTGGGAGTCCGCCTGCCGATGCAGGGGACACGGGTTCGTGCCCCGGTCCGGGAGGATCCCACATGCCGCGGAGCAGCTGCCATGGCCGCTGAGCCTGCGCGTCCGGAGCCTGTGCTCCGCAACGGGAGAGACCACAGCAGTGAGAGGCCCGCGTACCACACACACAAAAAAGAGACAAAATACTGTATTCCAGCAGGTGGAATCAATGAACTAGGTTTGTCGTTTCCATGTTTATGATAGGGTGGAGCATTCCAGGGAGAGGAGGAGCATGAAATCCGGAGGGAGATATGAATTTGGAGAGAACTGCCCCAGATATGACAAGTGTTGGGATACACACTATAGGTGGAGGACGTTAGCTTAATTATGAGGAAGAAAAAATTCTCCCCTGAGCTTTGTAAAACCAATGAAAGGATAGATTAAATTAAAGTTGAGTGTACATGAGGACGCTTCTGGTGAGCAATCTTTTCTCCTAAAATCTCTTCTGCAAAGGTGACCACTAACATGTCCGTTGCCAAACCCAGGGGATAGTTTTCTTGCTTCATATTACACTGACCTCTAGATAATATCTGACCATGTTCGTCATCTCTTACTCCTCAAAAAAAAAAATCTTTTTCTTTGACAGAAACGAAAACATTTAACCCACAGAGTTAAAAATAAAACAACAACAAAAGATGACTACAACTTAAAAAACTGAAGCAACATTGTAGCAATTAGTTATTTTTGACATGGCATATTATTAGCCTCTAAATTCTTTGTTTTTTACCCCCTAATGAAAACGATGGCAAACAGGGCATGCATTTCATTAGGTAATTGGAGAATAGCTAAGTGTCCTTTTCGGGAAGCAATGGACATTAATTATAAGTAGTAATGTAATTAAAACCAAAAAAGACTTGCATAAGTAATAAGCAATAATTTACTTTTCTTATTTATCAAGAAAATTGATATTCATAAACAAAATCTTCAGAGTTCTGTAACTGCATTTCTAACTGCCTCATCAAAATCTTCACATCGTTAATCTGCCTGGACATCACTTTGTTTTAAAATTGAACTCAATATCCCTTAACATTCTCTTTTCCTTTTGTTTCTTATCCCAAAAAATGGAACTCATGACTCAGAATTCAGTTACACTGACTTAAACATCTGAGTCATTTGCAGCTTTCCCTTCTCTTTCAGAACCCAACATCCAAGTAAGTACTAAATTATATGTTTCCCAAATTTGGTCTCTCCTTTTTTTCTCTCTCGGTAAAAAGACCCTAGTCTAGTTCTCCTCATCTCTTGCCTGAATAAATACACAAACCCATGACTTAATCATCTTGTTTCCATCTCCTCTTCAAAGATCTACCAGAAGCCTATGCTAGTTACATTTTCTAAATGGGTATGTCTAGGGGCACAGTGTTAGGTTCATTGCCACTGCATTATATTGCCACCGCATTATACTGCCCCCAGTGTATTTCTTCATGTGGCTTCCATTTGTCTAATCCACCACCACAAAGACATTTTAAAAAGATCACCAATTCTGTGGATTTTCGTCTATTCAGTGACTTTTCAATATTTTCCTTTCATGTCAGGGTCATATCAAAAACAACTTACCTGTTTAACTTCCCTCCATTCTTGGCAACTTACTTTCCCACCCACCCCCTTTTCTCTGTCTTTAAACACACAACATGAATTATTCAGCCTTGGTCTGTTTGCACATGTTTTTCTCTAGCATATCATGTGATAGCAATGTTTGTTGAATGGGTTTCTTCTAACTTTGTGTCTCAGATCCTATATTATCTCTGCTGTGAGCTGTGCAGCCTTTTCCTTCTCAGAGGAGACAGAAAATCACTCAAAAGCCACCATAGCCACAGCAGATCAACAAAATTATCCTCATAGAAAGGGAGGCATTGGTTAATGGTTATTTAAAAAAATC